CCTAAACAGATGGCCCGCCCATCCTGTCCACGACCACGACACAACAGACATTGACGGTTGGAAAAGGGCACGGATTAAGCTTTATGAAAATAGACATGCATGGTCCTCCAAAGTTCACGTTCAAGCATACGAGATTTTCCCCTTCGAAGGTACTAAAGAACCCCAGTTTCAGCCGTCTAATAGCTGACAAGGACATGCGTAAACGCTCGGTATTTGCACAACCTGCAATTTACCCTCTTGTTCAGGACTGGCGGTAGGAATTCGGCAAACTTCGTAATAAAACTGCTAAATCTGTTAAGCTGGGGGAGCAGGTAGCTTACGGTGCCTCGAGGGGACGTGTACCACGAAATAGCTGTAAAGCTTCTGTCAATGGCGAAAAAACGAATTGGCGGTGCAGTGATCGCAAAATGTCGTGGTAGTATGGATGGACAGGCATTGGTGAGGTTTTCTAACCAGTTCTTAATGACAGTAACCAACAAAAGATGCAGGAGAGAGTGCCAATTTGTTCGTACAAGGAGAAAAATTCGAGAATATTCAGATCCCTAGCACCTTCTTCAGCCCCATGTTTGAAAGCTTCCAAAAAGGTGGCATGGTTCATCTACGTAGATAAGCTCAGCGCTTAAACATTCTATTGCATTCCTTTCCATCAAATCCAGTCTTTTCTTACGAAAAGAACAGTCTATATTTTTCCAGTACGCACCGTGTTTGACGCGCTTCGGATAACAGTATTAGGTCTGTGTGCGAAATATCGACCGAAGAAAGCTTCTCGCAGACTACATTTGCGTTTTATAAGCTCATTGGGCAACTATCTGCATTTTCATTGGTTGAAATACACTAGTACGCCATGACCAATCAAAACATCGCCAGCTGTAGGCATCACACAGACGTTTTTTTCTAAAACGCAGACACTGTCTGGAGCAGACTAATTTCAAAAAAACCGGTCAGAGAGTGGAGATGAGCACATTCATTTTATTTACAACCAATGAAAGAGGTGGATGAAGTTTCGGGATGCAGTTTGGAGATTGTCACATCCGCGAGTGTGATAAGAAGACGACCCAGAGGAGCGTGAATTTTGCGAGGAAAAGATAGTCAATCGCCTCAGTGCGAAAAATAGGTGAGCTGCCTTGGCAAAGTGACTTAAAAAGGAACCAGAAAGTTATACACAACAGTGGGCAAGAAGGACTTGGCATGCGTACCCGAGGACGCAGTGAAACTCAAGGCGAAACGAGGGTGAGAAGACGCCGACCGGCTTAGCCAGCGCGATGAGGGCAGGAAGGGAAGGAGGCATTGCAGGCAGGGCGCTACTTTCTCCGCAACAGCCACCAGAGGGGGTTTGGAAAGGGAATCGGGAGATTGCACTGAAGGGAGACAGGTTTTTAGAAGGGGAGGTGTCGCGACGACAGCATCGCGAACACATAGGAGGTTGGATAACGCCGATGGACTGCAAAATCAGGAAAAAAACAGAATCATCAGTAAGGTGTTTGATCTATTTTCTAGATGAATGATACAAAAAGGGCTGTCTGGTCACTTACCCCGTACAGACCAATTTGTTAAACTCGCGTCCCACGACATTCCAGACAGAACAGCCGCAGTTGTCGTTCACATAGGTAACATGTGTGCTGCAGTGCCTTTCCATAGTTTGAGCGATGATGGGAAGCAGGAGCAGCTGGCAGGTCAGCGAAGAGCACCAGTCAGAGAAGTCATCTTGCATGCACATGAGCCTTTTGTTCTGGATCGCCAGATTATGAGCAAGCTAAAAGAGAGGAGGCAAATGTAGGCATTTTTTTCTAATTGACACTCAAGACAGACTGACAGACAGGATAGAGAGCGTGGGACTCACCCTAGAATCAGTGGAGCTGGGGGGCTCATTAGTGACTGCCGTCTCCAATCCATCGGACCAACCCAGTTTGTTTTTCACGGGGGAGGATTTAAATGCAGGTTTGACAACAGGCGGCAGATCTTCCGGTTTCAGGGCTGTAAGAAAGTGGAGGAACGCATACTATAAAAAATGGCCTCATGGAGAGTTGTGAAAAGCAAATGAACGGGGGAAATGGGGCAACAAACTCGCCTTTTCGGGTTATGGAGGCTTCAGCGGATTCTTCCAAAAGAATCATATCGAAGAGCTCACTGCCGATAAAGGGTAGTCCCGTAGACCGAGGAAGAACACAACTCTCTGGGTCCTGTTTCATACCCTGTTCAGGCGTGGGTTCGTCGTGGTCGTCACCGTTGCAGTCGGCAAGACGAA